AAAAAAAAAAAAAAAAAAAAAAACATAGACAGAGGTATCAAAATTGTGTCAAATACATCACGACTTAAAAATTACCTTTAAATGTTTGGTTTTGCAGAAATAATTTCCATACACATGCATAGCAATACAAACGTAACACTTGAAATGCAGGGATATAAAAGAACCCGAATAACATGCAAACAAAACACTTTTAACTTAGCTCAGACATACAAATAAAATGCTTACCAATTTTCTGTCCATTTTGGCTTTTATGTCCCTTGCTAATGTGAAAAATGCATTTTCTACATTTATGCTGTTTTTGGCACTGGTTTCCATGAACTTGATTCCATATTCTATTGCTAGCTGCAAGGAAAATTATCAAACAAGGGGCTTCATCATCAGGTGATATTTGTCTTGTCTACATACGTCTAACAGGAAAGGATGGAAGTATGTCATTTTGCCCAAATATCTCATTATGTAGATATATGGCTTTTATCAAATTAAAAATTCATACCTTACTGCCATTAAACAATACGGCATTTACCTGTTTCCCTTTATCCTCTGAAACTTGCCGCCGGTCATTCATGTCACATTTGTTTCCAAGGACCATCTTTTCTACATCTTGTGAGGCATGCTAGAAATGAAATTTAGGCAATAGGCAACTGATTACAATTAAGATAAATTCTCTACCTCTTTATGAGTGGACATGGAGCCTGTTGGAAATAACCAACATATCTGAAGAACAATAATAATAATAATAATAATAATAATAATAATAATAAGCTTCTTACATGACGCCTTTCATGCTACCTAAGGCGCCTTACAATAATGGATAATATAACTAAAATCATTAAAATGTCTATAATATTTAAATATAAAACACTCATTGGAAACCATTTAAAATTGACACTACTAAAAACTCAATCTTATTAAAATATATAAAAAATCAAAGAGATATAGACAGATTTAAAAATGTGGGTCTTTAGAAGGGTCTTTATCTGGATGTATTTGAGACTAGCTCAAATATCTATAAAAAATACTGGACTTGGGGACACCAGGAGCTGGTTGCAAAGAGGAAGTTTAGCTTGGAAATTGTCAACACTTAACAAAGCCAAATTTTTTGTCCACTTCACTTTAAGATAAATCCACAGTAGCTTTATTAGTCATGCTTTTTATGCATTGGTCACGTTTTCCTTGTTATACAAAAGGGGGAATATTTCATTTGATTGGGCTACTACTCATCTATCTTGGGTCAAAGTACACTAGAGTATTGCTCTAAATGTTTAGACCAATTTTGAAGTCACATGCTTTTGTAAAACTGGTCCCTGGGTTGAAGAATCACCTGGTCTACAGCAGAAAGTGTTCACCAATAGAACAGAATTTTACTGACCCTGGTTTAATTTACAGGCATAAGACACAGAGCCAGTATTTATGTGTCAGACTTAGATATACAAACAACCACACATTTATCACAGTTAAGTAAGTTTAAGATCAAAGACTCTTATTTATGTGCCCTATGACAGTGCTGATGCCCTGTATCCAGACTAACCAATCACACCTGTGGTTAGTTAAAACAAGCTAAAAAACTCAATTTTATCAAAGATACAATTATATTAGCTATTTATGTAAATACACATTTATATTAAATGGGGTACAAATCAATACCATGCAACCTTATCTGGGGACAGTTATAAGGTAATAGGAGATATATTTTCACTGGAGGGTCTAGGTTATCTATTCTGGCACTGTATCAATATTGTCCCATCATATCAATGTCAAGAGTCAATCTCTTATCACTGCATATGGCACAAAACTCACCTCCTCAATGTTCCTGATCCAATTCCTTATGTTCTCAAAAGACTTTTGATTTGTGATATCATATACCAACATAATGCCCTGGAAAGTGAAGAATAATGATAATATTAATTACCTATCCATAATAATTAAACTTCAGCATCATTATGAATCATCACCTTTAGTGACTCCTGTCCCAGTCATCTTCAACAGGTCTTTTATCATTGACATTTTGCAAACTTATTCCATCACCTCTTTTTGTAGAACTCATAATAAAAGTACTTTTTAATCCTACAAAAGTGCTATCAAATGCCATAAAACAATCACTGATTGAGTAGTGTAACAATAAACAACGAGAGGCAGATAGGACATTAAGCAGTTGATAACATTCTGCCACTTTATATTCACCTATTGCTATTTTCATGACGTCAATATTTCATGCATGCACTCCAAAATTTTCCTTTGTCCTTAGATGTATATGGAACCGAGTTAAATATAGGTTAATTATTTTTAGCCATTATTTCAATGATCAATCCCTTGTTAGTCCAAGCCAAAGCTTTTGTAACTGCTTTTTATTTCAAGGAAAAATTTTAAAAAGGGAGCAAAAGTACATTTTAACTGATCAAAATAATGGACATGTAATTATTAAAGTCATTCATGTGATAATTGTTCTCACCATGGCCCCTCTGTAGTAAGCTGTGGTGATTGTACGAAACCTCTCCTGGCCTGCTGTGTCCCTAGAATAGCAAAACAATATAAACTGTCAAATAATGAGATATTTGGGAGTTAATCTGATGAAAACAACCATCTAGTGATCAGGACAATAAACATTCCATCCCTGGGTTCACACAAGTTGTTAAGCCCTTCTTTTTGGATGGATATAATTCAGCTTGACTGAAAAATTAAAAATATAGAGCCAGTTTTACAAAAGAATGTGACTCAAAATGGTCTTAACATGTACAGCAATATTCTAACATACATGACATTACTGACTAAAAAGTCCTTGATAGCAAAAAGCACCTTTACCGGATTGTAAACTTAGCTTTCCCTCTTTTTTTTTTAAATACACAACAAAGTACTAGTAAGGTTACATCAGCAGTATGAAATAACAAAATGTTTTCTTACAAAGTTCTCTTTTTTTCCTATTTCAATGAAACTTACCATATCTGTAACTTGATCTTTTTCCCGTCCAGTTCTATTGTTCTGATCTTAAAATCTATTCCTGAAATAAAAACAACACACAAACATGAACAAGGATTTAAAATAACAAAATCAGGTGCATTCAAGTTGTGTCAAACACCTGAAGCTGCTCCGATCACTGATGCAGCCTCTTTCTGTTTCAATCAGTGGAACACAACAACCAGCAATTTCTACTCTGTTTAAAGAAAATACCATATTATTGCATAAAATCAAGGTAAAATCATAAAGTTTATGTTCCATAATCCTAATACGTCAAACTCAATGGATCATCAGATTAGTTTGTATGGCTAAAAATGTAATATATACTTCAGATTTATAATATAGATATATTTTGTAACTTCCTCCCATTAGTAAGGTGCACAGAGAACCACAAAGACATCTATCAGCAAGAAAACAAAGATCCACCCAATAATTAAGTACTGTCACACTATGACTATTGGACACTCCCAACAAATCCAGCCACCCTTGCCCATTGTTATCACTGGCCAGTGGTTTGCTTCCACAAAGTGACATCACTCTTCAGATGAAATTCAAAATCAAAGATGAACAAAATGTTGAACTGGCTGTAGTTCACAGCAAATCAATTTTAAAATCGAAATCAAAACCAACAGCACTGTATCTCCCACCCCTACCCATCAAAGTTAGGGGGATGTGCTTTCTCTTGATTTTTTACAACTGTTCATTGTCAACTCAAGGGGTATTAATGTACATGAATGATGACAAAATGGAAGAAATACATCTGTGAGAAATGGGGGGAAATCTCCTGCAACTTCATTGCACAGACCCCATAAATCAACAGCAGAGTAATCTGAGTAAGCTTTGGAATTTCAGAATGTAGAACACATTATCCAAGCCATTACAACAGCATGACTCAAATGTTTACTACTGGGTCTAAATGGATAAATATGCCTTTGGGGGCATGTGATACATAAACTGCATTTCCATGCAAACTTGGGCCGACTTCACTTAGTAAAAACATTTTTAACAAATAGTTTGATTGCTACTTGCTCGTCAAGGAGCCAATCTGATGNCTTTTTATTTCAAGGAAAATTTTAAAAAGGGAGCAAAAGTACATTTTAACTGATCAAAATAATGGACATGTAATTATTAAAGTCATTCATGTGATAATTGTTCTCACCATGGCCCCTCTGTAGTAAGCTGTGGTGATTGTACGAAACCTCTCCTGGCCTGCTGTGTCCCTAGAATAGCAAAACAATATAAACTGTCAAATAATGAGATATTTGGGAGTTAATCTGATGAAAACAACCATCTAGTGATCAGGACAATAAACATTCCATCCCTGGGTTCACACAAGTTGTTAAGCCCTTCTTTTTGGATGGATATAATTCAGCTTGACTGAAAAATTAAAAATATAGAGCCAGTTTTACAAAAGAATGTGACTCAAAATGGTCTTAACATGTACAGCAATATTCTAACGTACATGACATTACTGACTAAAAAGTCCTTGATAGCAAAAAGCACCTTTACCGGATTGTAAACTTAGCTTTCCCTCTTTTTTTTTTTAAATACACAACAAAGTACTAGTAAGGTTACATCAGCAGTATGAAATAACAAAATGTTTTCTTACAAAGTTCTCTTTTTTTCCTATTTCAATGAAACTTACCATATCTGTAACTTGATCTTTTTCCCGTCCAGTTCTATTGTTCTGATCTTAAAATCTATTCCTGAAATAAAAACAACACACAAACATGAACAAGGATTTAAAATAACAAAATCAGGTGCATTCAAGTTGTGTCAAACACCTGAAGCTGCTCCGATCACTGATGCAGCCTCTTTCTGTTTCAATCAGTGGAACACAACAACCAGCAATTTCTACTCTGTTTAAAGAAAATACCATATTATTGCATAAAATCAAGGTAAAATCATAAAGTTTATGTTCCATAATCCTAATACGTCAAACTCAATGGATCATCAGATTAGTTTGTATGGCTAAAAATGTAATATACACTTCAGATTTATAATATAGATATATTTTGTAACTTCCTCCCATTAGTAAGGTGCACAGAGAACCACAAAGACATCTATCAGCAAGAAAACAAAGATCCACCCAATAATTAAGTACTGTCACACTATGACTATTGGACACTCCCAACAAATCCAGCCACCCTTGCCCATTGTTATCACTGGCCAGTGGTTTGCTTCCACAAAGTGACATCACTCTTCAGATGAAATTCAAAATCAAAGATGAACAAAATGTTGAACTGGCTGTAGTTCACAGCAAATCAATTTTAAAATCGAAATCAAAACCAACAGCACTGTATCTCCCACCCCTACCCATCAAAGTTAGGGGGATGTGCTTTCTCTTGATTTTTTACAACTGTTCATTGTCAACTCAAGGGGTATTAATGTACATGAATGATGACAAAATGGAAGAAATACATCTGTGAGAAATGGGGGGAAATCTCCTGCAACTTCATTGCACAGACCCCATAAATCAACAGCAGAGTAATCTGAGTAAGCTTTGGAATTTCAGAATGTAGAACACATTATCCAAGCCATTACAACAGCATGACTCAAATGTTTACTACTGGGTCTAAATGGATAAATATGCCTTTGGGGGCATGTGATACATAAACTGCATTTCCATGCAAACTTGGGCCGACTTAACTTAGTAAAAACATTTTTAACAAATAGTTTGATTGCTACTTGCTCGTCAAGGAGCCAATCTGATGCTAGGCACCTTGCTTCATTTAAAATAGCAGTGAATGGGATAGTTCAGATTTGTTGCCTCCCTTGAGCACGTCATAAATCCTATAGTTTGCTGAGATAAATGGTACTGATGAAGAACTACCCAATTTGACTGGAAACATGACTTTACAAGCTGGTAACATCCTGGGTCTAGATTTATTTCCTTATCATTTGACAGAGCACTCTACAGTATGCATGACCTATGGCTTTTGTATTCAGGCCAAAAAAGAAAATGTTTTTTTTGTTTGTTTGTTTGTTTTTTCATGGCATCCCCCTTGTTTGTATCTCTCAGAAATAACATGCTAGGCAACACTGGGGTGCCAGTTCTGTGATCAAGGGGTCAGATCCCATGGGGACCTTAAAAACATACACTGGGTAATTGACAAATGGATATTATATGCTTTGTCATATTTTATATGCTTTATATATTGCTAAATATGTCAATGACTGCTTCAGAATAATAGCAGAATAGAACTGATTGCAATAACAGAATTTTGAAGCTATATATGTGAAGCAAACGTATCCTGGCATGTCATTTCTTTCATTTTCTTTAATATCATAAAACAGATTAGTTGTAATGGTGTATGGTCAATAAACTACTAGTATTCTATGCATACAGCTAGAGGCACTATTCAGTGTTTTGACCCACTTTCCAAAACTCACTTCTGTCTTTTTAAAACCTCTTTTTAGCTAAACCTTCATATTCTTAACTTGGCAAGTGATAAAAAAAGATTTCTGTAACCTATTCATGCAAGAGTACAGTAAGGATTGCAGACCTGAAACCAGAAATTTTAAAGGGCATTCTTTTCTACAAATGTGGATCTTCTCATTCCTTCATATGACAACTGGAAAAATGGCACAGTATCTAAATCAAATTTTTGTTTCAGAACAGACATTTTTCGTCCAAAAAGACAATTCTTTTTAGTCTTCTAAAATCCATGGTCTATGGGGCAGGTTTGTACATATAAATTAATACAGGTGAACCACCTCAGGTATGCACAGCAACACCTGGACATCTTGGTCATATTTGAATTAATACACTGATATCCATTTGAAATAACATCAGGTTCCAATATGCCAGGGAGACCCCATGCTATTTTTGCTATTTGGCCGTTTTCCAAATCTGAATACACTAATATTCCTGTATCCCACTGTTAATTTCTAGGTATAGAACATTAATCGCTGGAGCAATAAAAAGTCACACTGAGAGTAACAACAGAAGTTATTTATAATTTCCTGCCAAAGTCCTTAAAATTGATTAAGGTTTTAAACAAAATAATAATAATAATTAATAAATTAACCTAAAAATAAATACATAAATAAAATAATAAAAATTTGTGAAAATTTACAAATAACAGTTGTATCCATCAGTGTATTTCTAAGATTCCTCTTGAATATCTTATGTCCCAGTTAAGTAAAGTTTCTTCACAATAACAATGATGAATTGGCCAAAATAATCAAACATATATATCATCTAACCTCTTTTTGTCATATTAAAAACATAATTTATCATTTGAGGAGAGTAAGTTTGAGCCTAGCAACATCAGGAGCATTATACCTAGCAACATCCTTCAGAAATGCACTGGATGCAGCCAACAGAAATATCTGCTCTTTAAGACATAAACACTGGTACATGACACACCTGGGCAAACTTCCACATAGTCTTTCTGGCAATCTTTCAACAACATTCACTTTACTACTAAATCAACCAAAATATATACAAGACACAAAAACAAACTTAGGATTATTTTTTGTATGTACACATTTCATTTACTGCAGCTAGTTCAGAAATTGATTACTTAACAGTTGATGTGAAGAAAATGAAATAAATAAATTCTACAGCCTTAGTGCTTTATTTTTAAGTAAAAAAATTTAGGAAATAATCTTTTAAGAAAAAAGGATTAGGTCAAATTATTTCAATATTGTCATTTGATTTTTATAACATAAATATTATGCAAATCTTAGTGATCAAAAATATATAAGTCAAAACAATTTCTCTCGATTTTTATGATAGTTTCCAAAATTTTCAAATGTTTATAAGTGAGTGACCAGATACATATATGCATTAACTTATCCTCTTTTTAGTATCCTCCTATCATAACATAAATTTTTTAACTTATCTGATTACATAGTCTGATAGAAAGTATAAATGGAAAAGGCATCAAATTAACAATACAAACGAAACATTAAACCACATTGACAGCTCAATGACACCTCAATATGACATTCAACTTGTGGATATAATTTACATTACTTCCATCCGTCAGTGATAAATTTACATGAACATACTCTGCAATAATGGCACGATTGAGATATTCTCCCTCTTTAAAACAGCATACGGGTATTTTATTTTCTATTTCTTCAATGCACCATGCCATACTCTTTCAAATATCAACTTATCCATGGACACATAATTAAAGAAGGTCGAAAAAATATGCAGCAACAGACTATCAGCACCACTACCGCGGAACACAGCGGCACGAAATCGTCAACGATCTAAATCTTATCAATATCAGCAGCGCATTTTTCATGAAATCTAGGCAAAGACAAGCAACTTACCTATAGTGGAAATGAATGTGGAGTTGAATGCATCCTCTGAGAATCTGAAAAGAACGCAAGTTTTCCCGACCCCCGAATCACCAATCAATAGAAGCTTGAAAAGATAATCATAGGTTTTCGCCATGTCTGTCCGTATGTCCGACAGGGAACACCCTCTGTATTACTTCCGGGTTACTAAAATTAGGATTGTGTCCCGGAAAGTGTAAATGATTTTTATGTCTATATACTTTGAGTTATGTGTCTTTGTAGAGTTTAATTATATTGCATTAATAATGAAATAAAATGGGTCGATTAATGACAATTTACTATTATATTTTGATTTTATTTCAATCTCTTTCCGCAACAGATGATTCACTTCAAAGGCAACCATTCTGACAGAGCAGAGAACTTGTGATGGAACGAGATGCCGACTACCTTGGCAGATACAGGAGTATTTCTAACAAACTTAAGAAGTAATCCTCTCTCTCTCTCATTGTTTGATGTCTGCCCAATCATATTTTAATTTAGTTGTAATTTACATGCAATCTACCACACAGTCTCCTGCAACGTATTAATATTATGTTGTAGATATTATTTATTATCATACATTGTAGAAGTAGAGAAAGTGGAACTTTCTATTACGTCTCTGTTATTATTTAGTAGAAAGATCATTATGAAGCATTTCACTGTTGATTTCCAGACGGTTCTTGAAGAAACCCAATGTTGCAGAGGGCAGCGAACAGTTTGGTGAGTATAATTCATCCTCTATTTCATCACTGCAGAATTTTAAATAATTTTTCAGTTCCAACATTAATACTTAAAGTTTATAATGAATCTGATTGTAGTACATGTATCTCTGTAGTATACATTGGTTATCTTCTACAATTTCAGCTTCTTTAGGGAAGACTTTCCGCCAGCAAGAATGCCAGCAATATGCAGGCTTTTGTTCCTTAGCACAAGCAAGGTTTGTATATATATAACCATTCCTGCTGAATAGAAAGTATTTTATTATTTAAGAGACAAAAACAGCACTTAATTCTTGGACAGAGCCATAGCTTTGTTTGCCTTAATTTAAGACCCTGCCCTGCTGCTTACCTCAGAAAAGGCCTTGATTATGACCAAGGCAATATATCCTATTAGGCAGGTTGAAGCAGATAATGCACTTGCTTCTTCCTGAAATTATCCATATTTATTTTACTGATAATACTGGCCACAGGGTTGGTGGAGACTTTTTTAGTGAGTGGTTTGCCTCATCACTTTTCAATCCCCGAGTATGACATGGCTTCATGACCCTTTCGCCTTTGTATTAAAACTTGCAAAATCCTCAGTCTTGTATTACATTTGACAACCTTGCATTGTACCAAGCCCATATTATGTGATTTCAGATGTGAGCATACCTTGGCCAACCCAGCAGGTGAGGCCCAAGCACTGACTGAAGCAGGCAGGGCCTTCATGGAGGCAGAGATGGCAGACAGAGAGCTGGATTGTCCTTGCTTTGAGGAAAATCTGACTGCTGCCATCAACTGTTATGGGCATGCAGTCAGGGTAAGTAGCTCTGAGTATTTGACTGCGTTTCCTTAACCTTATCATACTAGCAGGATTGATCTATCTCAGCGGGGATTCTTGCTAAGGTGCAGACAATGTAATTTGTCTGGCACACCCCTCTCATAAAGCAACATGAACAACATTGTCAACCACAAAGTTTTCCCAACGATATCCAAGTACCTTAAGTTATGCGGGGGCAGGCCAGACATTTAAGCGGTTTTAACTGAATAGCAAGAATCCCTGAGGAGTAAGATCCATCCAGCTAGTACTATAGGGTTATGGGAATGTCCCTTTGAGTTTTGAGGCAACAGACAGGAATACTTATATATGTCTTGGGTCCAAAACTGGTTTACAGACAAAATTATTCTGCCTTAAGTCATTAGTGAATTTTCACAGTACTGAAAATAATTATAATTACAGAAAAATCATGATGAAAATAGATGTCTATCGATTGGTTTTTAGTGGAGATATACGTGTTATTGTAGAGGAGGTAGTAGCAATTTATATAGCAGACATAATCATTTAATATAATGTTCATTGTATTTTAGGTACATATAGAATCTAAGCAGTCTGCCTTGGCTGCAGCACTTTGTGTAGAACTGGGAGACTCCCTGAGGGTATGCTTTGATTTTATATCGGAATGATTTTAGAAAATCAAATTTAAATATATGTATATTTTTGTACCTGCACTATTGTATATTTCAGGGGTCAAAGGATTGTGATTTTTGTAACAAAATAAGATATTTTACTCCATTGTAAATGACATACATGACAGTTGCTGCAGATTTTCTTCATTATTGACCAAAATGTGATATTATTTGTATGCTGCCACTGTTCCAGGGTCTTGGTAAGTCTGGAGAGGCCATGGCACACTATCAGAGAGCAGCAGAGCTACAGTATCAGGTATTCCTCAGGCTCTGTAGATATTTTTACACTGCCTGTTTTGTTAACATCAACCTTTACTCTTGGCTGAGACCCCAGAGGGCTAAATTTCCACTTTAGTTTACATCTTATTTATTGTTATCATTATTTTTATTTGTGTCTTATACAATATTAATATTTTTAAAGAAAAAGAAATCATTATTTCAGAACCCCCTGGACTGTCTGTTTTCTATGGGCTTTGTGGCAACTTGTAAAATTGAAACAGGTAACATAATTGCAAATTTACTTCTAGTACTTACAATATGGAATGGAATTTAATATCAAGTGCGCACATTTTTTCACAACTGAAAAAATTCCATTTGAGATTAACTTACATGCATATATGACCTTCAAAGATTTAAAATTACTTTTTATGCTAAGATATATACCTGACTGTGTAAAATATATTCCTTTTGAGCATTTTTGCTACGACATGAGATAGTTGCCACTGTCAATTAGGAAACATTTAATATACAATGTTGTTTTGTGATTTTTCTAGGTGATTTTGATGGTGCTTTGGCAGTCCTTACAGAAATGGCTTACTTAGCTCAAGAGAGAGGAGGTATGTGGCATTTGGATATGAAAAAAAAATCAATTCTGCAATAACTGCATGTAATTTTTTCTTACATTTACTGGGTGAAGACAAAAAATACATCTGTATAAATTGCAGTATGATATCTTAAATTACTTAATTATTAAGGAAATTAATCTACTTGACTGTTACAAAGTTACTGTAAATGTGTTGAAACTGAAGTTGGTTATTATAGGACTTGTGTAATGATTTGTCCTTTCAGGTGGTAACAGTGGCAAACCTCTAGGTGCCTTCTGTGACATACTGGCCAGATGCGAAGTTACAAGGGTGCTGCTTTTAATGCTTCTACAGGTATAGAATTGATTAACTCTGTGCTTTAATCGCAGAATACTAAATCATGTGACAAATCATGAGATAGCCATCATCACAAGATAGAATTACATACTTGCTTGAGAAAGGGGTTGTACTTGTAGGTTAAACTTCTGCTTTCATTAGATGGACAGTACACAGAGAAAGTTTTTGGTGAAATGCAGGAATTCTTTTGATATCTGCTTACTCCACTGTGAATTATATATGCGAGTAAAATGTCTTTAATAAGGTCACTCAATGTGTGCACACATAGGCATATTTGATCTTGTTTTACATACACTATCCTGTTGTTTCAGCCTATACCAAAGTATATTGTGCACATGTTTCTCATAATTTGCTTAATACATATCAGGAAGTTGTTCTTTTAGCCCACTCCTCAGAGGATACGACCAGAACATGCCCAGACCCTGGAAAAGTATACATGGGGAGCCTCAGACACAGAAGACAGTACATCAGGTACATAGGACATAAAACTGCAAAACTGTATGAAGAGAATAAAGATGTTCAGATTTGCTTTACTAGCTTTTGTGAAAAAAAGTTGATACACCTTGAAAGTCTGTAATGTATTATTGGACCTTGTAATTCTCAAAAGGCCTTAATCAAGTCTTTTTGGTCTTTAAAAAATTTTGTTTTTTTCTGTTGCTTTTGACAAAAACATAACTTGCTTTCATTTTTATTTTTAGTGCAATGTATCAATGAAGATCTTTTTCTATTACTGCAATCAGTCGTGGTAGGTAAAAACAATTGTTACAACCTTTATGTAGAAATAATTGTAGGTGAGCATTAAGGCATCTTTACTACCCATTTTTTCATTTGTGAAAACATCATTATTTTAAATTTGGTGCATTCTTAATTTTCGAATAAAAATTTCTTAAGTTTCCTCGATGTTTCAGATGGCCTGTCAGTCAAGGGATACAGAATCTTTAAAATCCCTACAGGTAGAGCTATGGCCCCTCTTGTCTGCAGAACAGAACCAGTTACTCCATCTAGTGGTGAAGGAACTGTCAAGTTCAGCAAAGGAGTGACCTTCAAACTGTATTTTAAAGTGAAATGTGTATTAGTGTGTAAATATGTCCATATAGTTCCTGCAAGGCAGATTCACAATGGCTTTTGATGAAGACCTTATATAAGGCAGGGCAAAGAAAGATGCTTACACATTGTAGCTAATTTATTTGAACATAAAAGATGTACATATAAGATAACAGAGCAGTTTGAGGAATTCATTGGTATTCTCTAATGTGCTTACAATTTCCTTCTAGTTAGAAAGTCTTTTGCTTGTCAGTGCATGCATTCCTAATAAGAGATCTTTACAAGAAACTTTCCAAAATACGGATAAAAGTAAATGTGGATTAGATGTGGACAGTTCCAAGAAGCTCAAGCTGTGATTACACATCATTTTTATTATTTGGTTGACACATGCAATAGCCCAATAGGGATCCATTATATATGTGGTTATATCAAACACAACATGATTGTCCTGACTAGTCTTGTATACAAAAACATGAATTCATTAAAATAACAACATGAAAAATAAATTTAAATATATATACAATATTTTTTAACATCAATACTGAACAATTCCATAAATTGGAAGAGAAGTGATGGGAAGAAAATAAACCACCTATAGTTCATCTAAACATTAAAAAATAAGCAGAATTCTTGGACAAAATATCATATATATTCTTTCATTAAGGTAAAATATGAGCAAGAGCCTATTTTCACAAACTTTTTGTTTTCCACCTGGCCTGACAATGACTTTAACATCTTAATACTACATGTACTATATGATTATAAAAAGAGCTCTCACGTACTTAAATTTTTAAAATAAGAGTAAAAAAGGTATTACCTTTGTAAAAATCATTCCAATCCACTGGTGGCTTAAAATGTAGACCTACTGTTATCTTACCAAAGCAAAACGAATTATTTTTTACAGATATCTGTTTAAAGCTCTTATTCCATCTTTTTCCCAGATGATTTCCTTTTCATAAACACTAACCCTGTGACATAAAAGACTGCTGTCATGACATGGCCAAAGAAATAGATACTGCTCCAATAGTCTAGTGTGCTATATAGTCCTAGCAACAGGAAACCCATGGACATGTACTCAAGGAACCTTAGCTTGAAAAACCACCAGAACCAGTCAAATATTTGTTGCTGTTTGTTGGAGGCATTGTCCCGAAAGGCCTTGATCATGGCGTCCTCTGCCATGAGGACAAATGGAACCAATAGAAAGCTCAGGTAGTAACCAGGATGGATGCCATGCCAATACGCACTGACCAGCATTGTGAGAAATGTTCTGGGAAAAAAACATATACAGTTACATAAATTGTATATCTCTAAACATAGTCTTCAGAAAATAATACAAAATCACTGTTATGATCTTTTGAAGCAATACAAAGTTCTAGTTTCTGCCATCCTGTGCAAAATGCATATTATTTAATTTTGGATACAAAAAAAAAAAAAAAAAAAAAATAAATAAATTGACTATTGGAAGAGTATAAAGTTGTGATAGAGACTTCAATATACCTGATAGATCTGAAAGGCACCCTACTGTACACAAAATGTGCTAGCCAAAACTGGACAGACATATTCCAACTCTTCATTCCTTCACGCACTGTAGATGACATCTCACAGCCTGACGGACTTATATTATGGATGGTTTCAAAATCATACTCTACTTCATCTGCACTGGTTTCTCTGAAAAATTGTGTTGCATGTATATAAAAAGAAAATGCAATATATGAACATAAATTCAATTATTCATTTATATAATATCTGAAACAAAGGTTACCATAACAGTATTAAAGAGAGAGCACATAATGTGACAAGGCATATGCGAAATAAAAATTGTAAAGAAACATTTAAATATAAAAATTGAGAATATTTTGTATTAATCAGAAGTGAATCAAAAAGAAACATTGAATTCAAGTAACAAAAACCATAAGTAAGTTTAAAGAAAACTGACACAATAAATGAATAAAACAGACGAGGGATTCATCTTACAGGTCCTTCAAAGTCCCCAAGTTGGTTGGTCCTTGGCCCCGTTTTGGTCGACTGTCCTTGGGGTAAGCCCCTAGAGCAGACGTGATACACACCATCTCTGACAGTATCCACGCAGAATATATCCTCATACGGAATATAAAAAACGTCACTATCATATACCACAGCCTGTACAAGAAGAAGCGCTGGTGAAACTCTTCTGTCTTCACATACTGCAAAGAGCAAAACATGTTGGGTATAAATAACCAATGTGTGTGTGTGTATGTGTTCGATATAAATCCTTAATTAAAGAAATAATATGCTGCCATGTTCAATATATGTTATTCATAACACCACACTTCTTTGCAAGTTTATGCCTTAATTTAGCTATTAAAGATACAATGTTGACAAAAATCCCCATCTGGTCAAGATGTCCCAGATTCACAGCAATCTTTTTTGAAAAAAAATAACATACTCCTTTTATCTTGGAATGTTCATCTTTCAAATTTTAGACTGAATATGCTTGTGAACCAGACCCTTACCTCTAGGGGATATACCATTGAGGTTACAATGAACAACAAAGCACAGACTGGAAGCACTTTAAGCTTTTCTAGGAGTGGCTGCCATGTTGGAATACTGGCTGTGTGTTCATTATGCAGCATGTCATGGTATGTTCTGTATTTGAAGTATGGACCTAAAAACCCGACAAAGAATTACATAATTTTAAATCTTGATGAACTTTTATTGTAATCCTTATTTACAGAATCGGTGCAAACAAACTGGCTGATGAGAAAAAATGTTCATTAGCTTGGTACTTAGATGAAAATTATCAAACAATCAAACAAGCCAAAAAACTTTCATACCATTAGCTTACGGCCAACCTGGATGTAGGCCTTCATCAGACTGATGTAATCAACATCAGCCGTCACCAGCCACCATAGGGATAGGGGGTCAATCTATCTAAAATTTGTAAGAAGCTCCTGGCCACTATACTACCTAGCGGTCAGCGTCAACATCTGCTCACATCAGTTTGATGAAGCCAGGTTAGGAGTACGCTAACAGCATGAAAATGTTTGGCTTGTGTCAGATCATTTTTATCTATGAAGCTGGCTGATGTCTTCATCTTATACGATTTAAATGGGATCATTCCAATCACAGTGGCATGTATTTTGTGTTACATGGTACAATGACATAGCTGATTGTTCTCACAATGAGATTTTGACTGTTCTAATGTGGTAGGTGAGATTGTGCACAGCATTCAAGACCATATAAAATGTAAATAGTTACAAGACTTTTACTTTAAAAAAACCAACATATTATGAATTTAGGTGAAAAAAAAACTTTTATCCGACCTGTGAGCAAACCTATATAGCAGTAACTGTACAGCATTATGTCCATCAAGCTGGGATTAATGTTTCTGTATTCTGCTTCCAGTGCCAGGTTCTGTCTTTGAGCATCTTGTTGGCAATCCTCTGCTGACTTGGCTTTCTGCTGCCTTTTGTAGCTGTCATGTAATTCAAATGCCAAACCAACCATCTGTATGTATATAGAAGATTGTGAGTGATAAACATGAGAGAAAAGATGAAAACTGCATATATTCCTGTATGCTTCTTAATGATGACTTATGACCTTAGTTCCCTCATAACATGAAGTATAAAGTAAGTTAAAGACAAGTATTTTGCAAATAAAATTGTTTAATAATGTTTGATTTTTTCAACTCTTTCATAGACAACAAACATATTATGTAAAATTAAATTACCATATTCATGAGTCTGAATTTTAAAAATAATTTTCATAAGAATATGAAATTTAATATTTCCTTATACACACAAACCTTGAGAGTAAGCAACAGCTGCACTGCATTGCTATGAGAAGGAACCTTTGGAAGTCCAAAATAATGTGTGGTTCTAAAGAAGGTAAGGTACCCAAAGCACCACATAAAGCTTACTATGTGGCAATACCTAAAGAGTATAAAGATTCTGATAATTATTCACCTATAATATAATCACCTATAATATAATCATGACATTTTACTTTAGCCACAATTGTAGTTTCACATGAACAACAATCAAATACTTTTAAATGTACCTGACCAAAGCACAGATAATAAAACAAATGCTTAACATATAACCAGGTAAGTGCAGGTACATAGGATAATTACAATGTATATGTAACTGTAAAAATATACAGATAAACTTCCAATACATGCAACCTTCATGTAAAAACAAGATAGACTGCACAGCTTGATGAATGCAAAAAGTTTCAAAGTCAATTAAAATCAATTAAGCATTTCTGAACAAATTAAATGAAATTTTACAAAATGACTGATAAATAAGATCTGTGGTAACGAAGATCGAAATTTCAAATAAATGTGCTGAAATCTGTAATTACCCATTAATGCATCGCATTAAAAGTCTGGTATGCATTGAGAATGACAATTAAAAATAAAAAATTGTGGCTTTAAATAAATTGAAATAACCATAAGCAATTAAATATTTATATGATATTTTTAAATAACAGAAAATAATAACCTTGGTGAGATCCACAACACAAGCAAGGCATTGACAAGAGCAGTAATAAAAGAGTGTAATAAATGAAAACCACACACAACCAGAACCATCCCCGCCCCTATCGTACTACTGAGGAGCTGTTTGTGTCTCGCATCCTTTGTCTGCTTAATAAAAGTTCCACAAAATACAGATATAATCAGTAAAGTCGCATAGATAAAATCGTCCGCGGTCAGGCCAAACATATTGTTTCTTTCATTCCGACCTCCAATGAATGGAGAATAAAGCGCAAATCTGGAATGCGTTAGTTGTGACGTAGTTGCAACGCTTTTCTTCTCTATAGCAGCTACGCCTTTATAAATTCCCATAAAAATATTGTCAAAATCAAAATTAAATGCGAAAAGGTCTCATATAACAGGCAGAACCAACTGAAAAGAGGGGTGGTATGTGACAAACTAAAGTGTATCCTTTTTATCCCAGTAAGTTAAATTTCTGCGTCTTATGACGGAATTGTAGGTTTTGTTATTGTTAAATGTTGTTGCAAGATGATGGGGACTTTTATTTGCTTTGAAGCACCAACTGTGGTTGAAAAATTCGATACACTAATGAAACTTGGAGCCCAGGAGTCCAGGAGCCCAGTAAAATTATTATGCCTCTTAGAAATTGTCTGGAGAGAAGGGCTCAGCGTACTGCAACTGGAAACTCTAAAACATGGCTGTGGGGGATTTAGGAGGTGTCAGGGTGGTCCTGACCCCCCCCCCCTTCGATTTCTGATAACAAAACACACCAAAACCGTCTAGCTGCATCACAGTTCTAAACCGTACCAAATGACGTCAAAACACCCTTTTTTTGCCCTCCAAAACACCCGTTTTTTGGGCCCTCGAGCGTGCCTCGAACCTGACGCCAAGGGGGGTAAGGGTTGTCCTCGCAATCCGATGCCTGTCAATCCCTAAAAAACCGGACCCCCCTTCAAAAAATTCTGGATCCGCCCCTGATAATTCTTTTTTTTTTTTTTTGTAAATGTATATTTCAAAAAATGAATCTCTTGAATTGTACTGAATTGTTGATGTTATTACTTGTATGCATAAGTTTCTATTTTATTTATTTATTTATCATCATTATTTGTTTTTGTCTATCTTTCTCATATTTATACGTAGTTCTCTTGTTGTGGTAACTGTGCTACCTGTTCACGTGTGGTAGTTAGTCGTTATATATATATATATGATTGTACCTTAGATGTGAAGGTTTTATCAATAAAAGATTTTACTGGGTATAAAGAAAACATATAGTTAATAATAACGATAAATGAAAAAAATACATTGTTGGATTCCTAAAAAAAAAACGTTCTTTTCTTTTCTCAGATCATTGCCCTGCCACTAAATTTGTAATGAGACTGGAGTGCATATCCATTTATCTACGATACATTATTATGGCAGTAAATCACTACCTAGGATATGCAACATGGGCTTCCAAGTGCACGAAATATATTAAATAAACTGAACAATCTATGAATGAGGCGACTTGGGCAAGTAAATGTACATTATGAAAATCGAATGAATAAATAAAGCCTATAATCAGAAATCGGTAGGCCTATATGAATATTTGGTCTAAAAATGTGATGAATGTTAAAAACGGCTGCAAAATGCAAAACTATTAAAAGAATAAGTGTATTTTAATATGGTTTTCTCTCTTTATGCAGAAAATGTTGTTTATAATGATCGTTGGAATACAATGCAACTTAAACTTGGATGTTATAGACGCATTTGCTATTTATGTCCGCTTCAGTGGTCGGTGGCGGCCGGGCCCTTGTGTGCACATGGCATACCTTTATATTCAAGGAAGTATGACGTCATTACATTTGTATCTCAAAATTCCCCTTGTAGAATGATCTATGTGAATTCATCGTAATATGATGAATATGATATATATGATAAATATTCATTTATAGGAAAAGGATTAGTGTTGACTATGTTTCTGCCCGTAGTAGAATGGGCGGTTCCTGCTGAGCTAGACTGAAGTCACGTGACTAAGTCAATTCACAAGGCGGGCGGAGGCCAAGTAGGCTCGCATTCTGATAAACTGACTGATCACTGCAACGTCCGGAACTCGCCTTGACAGCGGCGGATTGTCCTTATTTCAGCACAAAGACTTGATATTACCAAAAACTACCGACGGAACACGAGACCGGTGTGTTTCATTTCGTATTAAAGAAGCAAATCCTGATCGAAGTGCTGGGGACAGTTACATTCATCGGGAGCACTTGCTTGATTCAAAATGGCGGACGATTATTATGGCAGCTTGTCTGCTCAAGAATTGAAGTATTTGCAGGTAGATAGGAACGTTATAAACGATCCTACTGCACAGGCAGAATGGGCAAGCAAGAAGTTAGTCTGGGTTCCCCACGAACAACATGGATTTGTGGCAGCGTCGATCAAGGAGGACCGCGGCGAAGAGGTGGTCGTCGAACTCGACTCTGGAAAACAAGTCCGTGTCGCCAAAGACGATATCCAAAAGATGAACCCACCGAAATTCAGCAAAGTCGAAGACATGGCCGAGTTGACATGTCTCAATGAAGCGTCTGTATTACATAATTTGAAAGACAGATATTACTCTGGTCTTATATATGTGAGTACCTCTGTTTGTATTTGGTGTCAGAACAAAACCTTGAACCTAGAACTCTGAGGCTCTGCTAAAATCGAAGAATCTTACAGAGAAACGTCCCATAAATCTATATTTGCTTGGTAAAGTAACAACCGAAAGTGATTAGGTCAGATATCGGTATATTGCAAGGGTAATTAACAAATAGATAGACTTTTATCTCATGCTTTTTCAAGTTTTGTAGGTTATGTATGTTTTGAGCGAAGCATGTGCCAATTGCAAAGTTTAAGAAATCGACCAAAATAGTCTCAGTGAAATGTAAATTCCCTTTCATATTTGTTGTGTAAATATGGATAACTCACTTATTGTCTTATCACCAACCTAGTCATAGCCAGCTCATGTGGCACGGAATGCAATACAGGAAGTTTGGCTTTGACACTGGTGACTCACCAGTTGTTTGTACTTTCCATATCTAATACACATGAAGCACTACTAGAGTTGTCTTCTAGGCTGCTGTGAATTAAAATCATATTATAAAAATCTCATTAGAATGATAACTAATTAGATTAAACAAGAAGCACTTAATACAATCTGAATCATTTCAAAATGTATTATCATATGAGAGTTCTTATGATACAGACAGTTTAATATAAATTTATTATATACTATTAATTTATTTATCATGCACCACTTCCAAAGCCTATATTTATAATTTCAGACATATTCTGGATTGTTTTGTGTTGTTGTGAACCCCTACAAAAAGCTCCCAATCTACTCTGAGAAAGTAATTGAGCTGTACAAAGGCAAAAAGAGGCATGAAGTTCCACCACACGTGTATGCTATTGCTGACACAGCATATCGCAGCATGCTCCAAGGTAAAGATGTTGAATATTAGAAGAATAACTCTTTAACAGATAATAAAAAAACACTATTATAATCAATAACTCTGAGAACTATAGCTTAGTTCTTTTCATGGGGTAGTAAAACAAAAATGCATGAAAGAATATTAAAGAATTGTGTAAATGAAAGTGACACTCCCTGCTCTGTGTTTTTTCACTTTTATTTCTTGCCCAACCAAAGGGTTTGAATAGGATCAAAAGAATTTCCAAGTGCTTATCCTCTGTAGTGAGCTGTATATATTGATTGTGGGGAGACTGTATCAGGTTTACGTTTACTGGCATTACAGCAATGTGCTCAGAATCAATACACTGACCCATACCCTCTTGTTGAAGTTATGCATCAACACAATTGAATACAGGAAAGAATAACTTTTGCCACTTCTCATTCAGAATATTAATATATGATATGGACAGAATGAAAATTACCTTTTAATTGTGGGCCTCAACGAGTTGGTATGTCTAGGGGCGTGTATCTTGTTGAACTTGTTGGAATTTTTTTTTGTCTATAGGTTATTTTAATAGAAAGTCTTAATGTTTGGTATCTGAATTTGACAATTTATATTATTCTATTTATTGGAGGAGTGAGATGTGCCTATCTTTTGTTGTCACGCATTTATTTATAAACTGATATGTATCAGTATCACAGTCACTGATAAAGTAGCTTATCAGTTTTATCAGGATACAGTTAGTTTGGCCAGTCCCATTTAAAAATAGAGGGACTGTTTTATATCCTTTTTTTCTGGTCAACCTGTGACAGTCAGGCTGCATATTTCAATGCTGTAAACTAGGTCAGTTGAGCCCTGGTCAGTTTAAAGGAATAAGGAATGTCCAGTTCAGCATCCTTGCATGTCAGCTGTGGTCAAGATCTTGATCTACATGCAATGTGGTGGTTTATACAGCCCATCCTTGATTGCCTTCGCTTCATGTACAATTCTGACTTAGCATGTTAACTGTGAGAATGAGACTACTGGTATAAAAATATTTCTGATCTTGTTTCTAGTTACACAACAAGTTTTTTCTGTCATTTAATATGTATATCACAGTGTGGAGGTTTATTTCTTTGCATTTGAAACATGTACAAACAGTTACTTACTTAGTTATCAGTTGGCACACATAGTTAACATATGTGCAAACTGAGTTCAAGGCAGTCTTCTACATATATTAGTATGGAAACTGGTACACTAAGGTGTACTATTTACCTGTACAAGATCAGTCCACCTGTTAGGTGTAGGGACACCCTGTGTACCTGATGGACATTATGCAACTAGTGATTTAACTGTTTGCTAATGTGCTTAATCACTAATTGCCCCATGTAGAGGATGGACAGGTCTTATTACCTGGCAGGCATATATCACAAGGGCCTGCAGGGTGGGGAGACACAGGGTGCGGTTACCTTTAACCCAGTCTTACCTATTCACTTTAATCAACCCCTATTTATCAGACGATTTTACCTGCTCAGTAAGATTACGTTGCCATGCTGGAGAAACTGAGAGGGAGAGAGAGCAAGATAAAATTTAACACCCCATGCAGGTTAAGCATTATGGCCATTTGCAATACTGCACTGTGATATGACACGGGGTCTATTTTTGAAGAGACAGATGGCATGCCATCTTGTTCTTAGATGTAGTATTTGCATGGAAGTCACTATGATTTATTTCACAGACAGAGAAGTGGGATATCACATCGATGTATCAGATAATCTGTGTTATTTATGGGATTTTTAATGTTGGGATGGGTAATTTTTATTCTGTACCTTCTCTGCTGTGTTTGATATTTATACCAGAAGAGAGAGGTTGTTTCAACCAAAACAAGCTTTGTAATGATAACTTTTCATGGGTGATTAAAGAAGTGCCTCATGTTAGTCATAATCAGTATGCATAAGTGTTGGGCATCTAAAAGCACATTAACCCTCAGGAAATGATCCACTATTACACAGTGCCCATCTGGGCCACAGTGATAGTATATGGACTGGAGCATGGTTTGTTCATCCATAAAACTTTACTAACACATGACCCTGATTTTATGTTTTTGCTTCAATAGCCAGGTAGTTTTTTTTTTCTCCTTTTTTTTGGGGGGGGGGGTATGCAACTTTATGAGAAGATTAATTTTTTCTTTGCGATAGTCAGTGAAGTAAGAGAGAGGGTTGCAGACACAGGTGGTTTATGAAAATTAGAAGATATGTTTCTTTGTTATTTCTAAGTTGTTCACCTCACAGGCTGCAGCAGTAGGTTTGCATTGCAGGCAATTGTGTTAAGGTAGATGTAATGTGTGATGTAAGTTTGGTTAATGGATTCCTGCAGACAAGCAGTGATACACATGGAATTTATATAACGTTAGATGATAGGTGGCAATATTTTATAAAACCCTTTAAAGTGTCCACTTCACACACTAGGATAGTGTGACCAGGAGAAAGAACAGTGCTGTTTGAATAGCTTGTCACAAAGAGTGTCACATAGCATTACAAATGCCCCTTCTTGTCCTATCATCTGTAAAATATGTGGCATATTTCAGACATTATGATGACAAGTGCAGTCCCCTCTGTGGCGACCCTGCCAACTATTTTCTCATTAAAACAGTCTTGAATTTTCCTGCCACTAATCAGTCTTTTGTTACAAATTCAACACTAAGCCACTCTCTTCTCAGTTACACTTACTGCTGTTGTTTTAGAAACTAGATCTTTTTCAATCCCAGAGTTACCAGAACCTGGTGGTAGTTAGAAATATCCAAGTATCCAAATTTAGATTGGAATGGTTGATAACTAAGAATTGTCCTTGTGTCCTCCTGGCATTTGTAATCGCCATTGTAAAATGTTTCCACATAATTTATCAGGGGGTGGGTTTTTGGTTATTGTTTGGTGATTATATTAGTAAAGTACAGATATTAAACAATTTGTTTTATGTGTTTATCTGAAGTGCACCCATCAGCCTACAAGGACTTGATTGTTCCTTTTGAAAAGACATTTTTCATTAGAATAAACAACCTACAGTTTAAAGATAATCTTTCACTTGTATTCATTTTCACTTGTCATCTGTTAAGCAGGTTGGCCCTCATCCTCCTTCCTCTAATCATCTTTTATTAAAGAGAATTTAGGTTACAAAAAATTCATAAATGATATCTGACTTATCATCTAAAACGGCATCCGTCATGATGCAGGTAAGATATCTGAATTGAAAACTTGTCATATAATGATATAACTATCTTCAGACATAGGTTCAGACTAGATGCCTCGTGCTGTAACCTCTCAGCGGGTGGCACACATACTAGCTGCTTATGGTATGCCCCCTCCTGCAAACCTCTCTCTCCAAGGGAGGCTCTGCAGGGAAATTATGCTAAGTCTGACCAGCAGGGGTCATTCTGAAAGAATTCCAGGAAATGTTTGTTCACTCATGCTAAATAGCCAGAAGGTTAGCTTCCATCAGCTTGTTTCCTGTTGTGGGGATTTATTCCTCCTGAGCAGCTATAAACACTCTCTGTCTTCTATTTACCTATGGATAATCCCATTTCAAACAGTGGTCAAATAAAGGTCACTGTAGCCTGGACGTGCTTTCTCCCAGAAAGTTCTCTGGCACCATTGCTTCTCTCTCCTTCCCCAGACTCCCCCCACCCACCCATTCACCACACGCTCTAAAGTTTCATTTAAATAAAGAAATCAAGTCCTTTTTGTTTAGAGATCCGGGTTTTCTGAAGAAAACAGAATGTGGACATGAATATAATGCTATATTTGCAATCAGCAGAATTTCAGGTGCACATGTGTTCACCTAACAATTTCTGCAGTATATGCCAAGCCAAATATGCTGCATAACTGAGAGGCTGGGCCTGTAACTATATATAATAGATAGTGTTTGAGGTTACATTCTATTGAGTCATAGTCATAGGTGATTAAATATTCCTGCCACCATGGAGTGATTCATGACAAATAACCAACTTTCTGCACACAGTAGCTTTGAATGTTGAACACATACTGAGAAGGTCTGATTATTGTATAAATACTAAAAACACGTGCTTAGATTGCTTTAAAATGGGATATGTTTTAGTGTTGTTGTAGTAGTAGTTGCGTCATTGCCCAAGGCACAGATGAAAATACTTTTTTCCTTGTTACCTCACCTCTTTTGTTTAGAAGAAACATATTTACTAAACCTCTGAAGTCCCTTGGGATTAGAATTAGGAGGTCACTGCAGATTGAGAAGAATTTGATGGTTCAAGTTTTCATGCATTTAAATGGATTGTGGTCTTACCACTGCCTAGGGTGAGAGTCTGAACAGGGACGGCCTTTTCCTGTATAAGAGACAGTAGCACTTTGTGGACGGCAATCCAGACCGTCATTCAAGCTCAGTCAATACATGACGTGTATTTTTATCATTTTTCAAATCTGAATACTTTGCATTCTTTAAGGACTTGCTTACAAAAACAAGCACATAGGACTGCAGGTGATTCAGTATGGTATTCTTTGCGGTCAGCTAGTCTCATTCTCTCATCGTTACATCACTTATATAGGTCAAGTGAGGTCAAGTTTCAAAAGGGCACCTGTAGTTGGAGGGAGGGGAGATGATTAGGGGCAGATATGACTACTGATTGTGCTTTATTCTCTTGTCTAATCTGGTAGATCATCTTCCATTGGCATCTATTTAAATATTACAAATGTACTATACATTCTTCATACTTAGACATCTGTACTCTGCAAAAAACTAAATTCAGCTTCTCATCAGTGAGCTGATATTGCATTGCCATATCTGAACTTTGAGAATGATGAATGGGAGTCCAGTTGTTTGCTGATCTCCACCCTTTCTACTTGTTCTACGTTGTTAATTTTGATTAGTTTGCTCTGCTAGTGGCCATTATTATTCCCATAAGTTCTTAATGGCGTAAAGCAAAAGTAATGGATTGGATCGTTAGTTTGATTCTTCTGGCTGTTGATAAAGACCTCAAATATGTAATCTAAGTACATTTTTTGCAAGTTTTCCAAAACTGGCATTGAATCTTGGAAGAAGGTCAATTGGTTATAAGCTTGGTTCAAAAATCTTCTCTGAAACACGTATGGTTTTATAGCAGCATAGAGTATAAGTTCTTTTTGTATGTCAATTTCTTCCAATTTCTGCAAAGAGAACAGTCCTGGGGCTGCTTTAATTGGAATTTGTCAAGAATGTTTGAACCTTGGTAACCCTAACACTTAACTAGTATTACTTTCCAATTGAAAACAGTTCTCGAGTTTGAAACTTGTCCTCTCTTTGTTTTACCGAAGCAATGTAAATAAAGAACTATTCAAGTTTTTTCCCCCATCTGCACTTGGCATGATGTTGCTACTTACTTTTCTATACAAATACAAAGATAACTATCAACACATGCCGTGATAATATTCTTAAACAGCAATGACATTATACATCTCTCCCATAATGGACTCCACCTAAACTGAAAAATTTGTAAACCATAGATATCAGCTGATCTTGCAGTGAGGAGAGCCCACTGTGACGATAGATCAGTATTGGTCCGAGCCTGGACAGGGGTCAAATCGGAGAGATCAAAGGGTCATTGGGTGGCTTTTAACTAGGATAAGTTTATTGCTATTAGCAGGGGCCTCTAAGGAAGATGATGGCATAGTTTGGTTGTCCATTAGACCTATCAGTGGTTTATTTAATAGCTAAATTGTGCCCCTGCTTGTGTGCAATTAGGAGTTAAGAGCTGTCAGTCTCTCTCTCCTCTCCCCTCCCCCCTTTATTTTGATGTCACCTTTAATGTCTCACCTGTCTTCACCATTTTGATACTGTAGATATGTGTCCAGACACCTTCACAAACCAGCTCACCTGAATGCACATTCATTAAATCAAAGTTAATTTCTCCATTGATCCTAACCAGGCCCTTACCTGTAAAATGTTGTATTTATTACTAGATAAACACCCCCTCTCCTTGATTGTAAAACCTCATTGCACAAGTCTATTTCGGCTTGTTGCTGTAAACCACTTGTTACCATATCTCCCTGTAGATGTTATGTCTTTACTATGAGGGTATAGATGGGTCATAAATATCTGGTGGTCCTCTGATACCTGTGATGCACATACTGCTATAAAGAATACAAATAAAGTCTGCAGATGATATAAAGATGGAGCATTTTATTTGTGATGTATCCCTGGTTTTATTGGTTGTTCCACAAATTTTGTTGTAGTTTGAGTTGAAACTGCATGGCCTTTGGCAATTTTTAATTAAAACAAAAACATTTTTTTTTTGTCTTATAATCAGACAGATGGGCATGGTATCAGTGAGAGCCAGGTATATATTTTACTGCAACCAAACAGAAATTGATTTGGATATATTTAAATATCATTTACATATTTAACATGATTATCTAAATGGAATGTTTTGGGGAAACTGCTTCAGTTCAAGTGACATTTCCATGAGGACATGTCTTTATATGACCTTTAACTTTAAAGAAGACTTCACAAGATATAGTCTATATATAGTCATGTACATTGGCATTGTTGTTGGTATCATCCGTCTCCCTGTGGAGCTGATTTGACACATGGAAGCTGAAGATGTGACATGAATACGTAAACGGTGTTTTTCACCTAATTTTCATGCCTGGCAGATACAGTAGTCTTATTGGGTGTAATGTATTCTCTGCACTGAATGGGCAAGCCACGTCCTTTTGTGTGGCAGGCTGCACATCCTTCTTGTCCAAATATTGAGTTTTAAATGTTTAAAATGAAGCCAGCCTCTGTCTTGTGTTGTACATTTCTTTAGAATGATATAAAGTTACTATTTGGAAATAAAGAACCATATACAGAGAGGAGATTAAAAGAAGTGAAAAAAAGTCCAACAATTGGAAAAATTACTTGAAAATGTTATGGAGAAAGAATGAGATAAAGGATTGAATTAATTTTTAAAAGTTTTAAGTTCAGGATTATCCCAGGTAAATGCAAGGCTGCACAAGAGGTTCTGCAGTCTAAACCTCAAGTCCATTTTAAACCTGAACTGGTATGGTCCAAAGATATACGTGAAGTGGAAAAGATAGATCATGTTCAGTTCTGGGAGGTTTCTTTAGGTTATATAATTATAAAAATCCTGCCAGCTAAACAAAGTTCACCTGAGTAAAGAGAAAGCTGCGTGTTACTTCAATCTAGTACAAAGCAGCATTGCATCATATACCTTCACAGGATAAAATCTGTTAATCAGTACAAACTCAGGTAAATTGTTATGGGCAACATCTCCTCCATTCTAGTCTTTCTTACAGTAAGGTACCATAAATCATGTTTTATATAGAGATGGCACACTGAGCTGCAAGATACACAAGTGTGTAAGCACATGCTTCTCAGTAGCTGCAGAACTGTTGCAACTGTTTAGATAACTCTGCATAAGCAGAGTACATGACAGACTTGCTTGTTTTTTTTACATGAGAGAGAGAGAAGAGAATGTTTGAAATAGAACTTTTTAATGAGTTGGAAGCACTCCTGCAAGAAGGCTCCTATTATAAACACCAATCCATTTCATTCACAAAAAAAAAGTTGCAAAAAGTCTGCCATTCCTGTGTTTTTGTTGCTATTATGGACAGCAATGCGATTTATGGGCTGGTGTTGTAGGAGGGTATGGTTTCAAGAATATTGAGAAACGAAGTAAAATGTTAGTTAACTGGGAATACCTGTTCCTCTCTATTGTCTGTGTATTGTTTGAGCAGAACAAATACTGTAGAGTAGGCACTTGGAAATGGTTTGCCTGCAAAGTTGGTTTTGATTGATTAAACAAATTCTAAATTCCAAGCATGTTGATCCACTATTTTCAGCTTTTGTATCTTTTCCTTTGAAATGGTTCACTCAAAGTCAGCTTGCAGGTGGTTATTATTTCTTACACCATTGTTTAGAAGGTTTTTATAAAATCACCTCTGTTGGTAATTATGTTTTAGGGCAGTGCCAGGCAAAGTTGGTTTTAAATTACTTGATAAGGGCTGTGTCCTCATAGAAACTGGATAAGCAATTTCAGATAATTTGATATTTTTGTGTGGGTATGTTTATGACTTATGTTATTTTTTTCATGTATTTTCAGATCGAGAGGACCAATCTATTCTATGCACGTGAGTACAGTGAATGTGGCATATTTTTAAAGCATATTTTTATTTTTTTAGTTGTGAAGTATAGAGTTAACTTACATTGAATGTCAAATAATGTTTTTCTGCTTTATTTGATCTTCAAAGACTACAGCTTTTATAAAACATAACCATTATATTGCTTAAGCTTCTAAATATTTCAAAGCATAGTTTATGACACACGGTGACTCACTCGCCAGGTATTCTATTTTCTACCACACACTTAAAAAATTATGAACATGAACGGTAGCTTCTCATTAAAAAACACCGGGTTGTTTTCGCTTTGTTGCTGCACTACAACATGATCTATTGCCATGTTTGAAGTATTTGCCCTGCTTGCTTGACTGCTATGCCCTGATTTATATGCAAGTAAACATAAATTATATAATTATCCAAATGGAAGTTTTCTCCAAGATCTGGGGCTCAAATCAGTCAGAGATGCATATATTTTGGACAGGGTTGAATGAAAATGATGTGGAGCTGTAATACTTAACTTATATTTGTTAGTCTTCTTCCAAAATATAATTCATTCAGCAAGATGATTTAAGTGATCAACTCTCTCTCACAATTTCACCCTCCCCCCACCCCACCCCACCCCACCCCACCAATCCCCGCCCCTCTCCTCAATCCAACGATCTGGTGTATATAAAAACACTCACACGTTGTGGTAAAATAAACTGCTAGTTCAGATAGTTGTTTCCCTCCAGCATTCTCTACCTCTGCCCCAGTTAGGGATAGTCACATGCTTAACACGAACGAACGCAACTTTACCTGTAAGTCAGAAATGAGAATACTTGAGGTATCAGTGTGGTGACCTTCCTAACCCTGACAGTGGGACACACCTGTCTTACCTGTATATTGTAGACAGGTGATAGTGCTAATTTGGATGACTTAGACCTAAAGGATGATCCTCAGGGCCTGCATCCAGTTAAGGGTTGGGGACATTTCTTAATTCAAGTTCAAATGAAAAGCTGTTCTCTTTCAGTGGGAATGGCACAGTTTAACAAGTGTTAAGCCTTGGTGTGTGTGGGCTCAAGTGCCAGGCGTGACAAAAGAAACTTTTCATACGTGATGCAATGTGTTTTTAAAAAACAATCCAGCATTTGTCTTTGACTATTGCCATTTCTGAGAAGGCATTGGTGATATTTCTAACCAACCACCTGCTGTGCTATAGCAGCAATAATTTACCACTTATTTAATAGAAATAGGCAACATATTATTAGGAAAGTGTTTTCCATGTTATTGAAAATGGCCCTCATTAGGACTGGGCATTTAGGTCAAGGGGTTACAAGGAATGTTGTCCAGGGGTTGATGAGTTGTAGATGAAATGATAAGTGTACAGGGGGAGGGGCAGTGGAATAAAAGGGGGTGATTTATTGGATATCATGTCAATTATGGACCTAACTACACTGCCTGAACTGAACTGTCCTACCTTGACATACTGCTGCCCCAGTGCATACGTTGACAGGCAATATGAATAATGGGCTGTCAGGATTTTAAATTGTAAAAAAAAATTTCAATAATAACTTTGGGCTGACAGCGCAATTCTGATTATTTGTGATTTGAGAAGTGGACATTTGGTCAATTGCTGCCCCTTCAGTCTGTCCTTTGTCAGCTAAAATGGTGCTAGTGTCTGGTCAGCAAGGCAAACAAGTCTACAGTAGCCCCTGTATGCATTTGAGAGTGAAATTAGCTGCCTCTGAATCACATGTTAAATATTGCTCCAAATTTAAACAAATGATGCTAATATTAGTATGTGATAAGGTTGACTCAAAATTATGATAAGCTCTGTAGTGGTCACATGATAGCCAGTTACATTTTATGTTGGAACATTGGAGAGTTAAGGGGGGGGGGATATCCTAAGGAATGTCATTGATAGAAATTGATTATCTTAATAGCTAAGGTCAGACATCTTAATGTATTACCAGTTTAATCTAAATCTTTAATCCTGTAAACATTCCTGTGTCATCCCAGCACGACCCTGTCAGCTTAGATCCAGAGTAATTTACCTTCTTTGGAGAACTTTAAGCTATAGCTTTGAAAGGAAGAATGACTCTCTTTTAAGGTATGAGGTTGTAGTCAATTACAGGTAGAAGGCAAATATGTTACACTGTGACTGCCCCTTATCTGAAAGGTTCTGTTTGAGGAAGGTCCCCTGTATTGGCTTATTTGCTTAGTCCAGACGCAGGTGATAGTAGGTAGAAAACACTTGTAACAGCAATTACTTGTGTATAGGTGAGACATTTACTGGAGTATTGTGAGGTCGCCATAAAAGGATGGCAAGAAATAAAGGCGCACATACCACACCAAGGCCGCCACATACCAGTCCTATTGATATGCTAATAGGAGCATAGAAAGAGGACTGTGTACACTTGTGCTATAAGGCAATGAAGAAGATGGGGGGTTCAATTGAATGGAGAGTGCCCTTAAAATACAGAACTTCCAAAAAAAAAAATGTACTGTCAGTCAAGGGAGCCATGTGGATGTGAAAATCGCCATGCTGTGTCATTGTTTGATATTCATTCAGGCGTTCCTTAACTAGCCCTGGGGTGAGATGTAGATTATATAGAAATTTTGCCCGATGAATTTTTCTCTTCGGTCCAGGGTATGTTGTAGTAAAGTGTAGGTATCAGTATGTTACGTAATGTCTGGGGGGAACAGACAAGCTGCATTGACCGCAGCACGAAAAGTATCCACAATGGATTCACCATGGCAGAAATAGTACAGAGTACCAAATTACGAGACTAAATGAAGTGACTGAGGAGGTGTATTGCATGCCAGCTTGCCTCTTCCGCCTCAGCTGCAGAGGTGCAATGCTCTTAATACGGAGACTTGTAGCGGTCCCTCTTTGAAATTAGCTGTTAGAAAAAGCAAAAAGCCAAACACGTTTTCCACACTTACATGCAAGCTCCATTCCCACCCTCTTGTATGCTCAGTTAACCAAAAGTGATGGCTCCAGTCAGAGTCATTGAAAATTTTTGCTAAATAAATAAATATAAGAGTTGGTTCAATTGAGGCAGTGTTAGCCCCTTCGGCTTATAAGTTCAATTTTGGGATAACTGTTGTAAGTTTGACAAGGTGTAACTGGTCAAATGTCAGAGAAGTGGACCGTGCAATGCCCCTTTAGTCTGGCTTGACTTGCTGTAACACTGGAAACACATACAAGCAGATTGACATTTCAACTGGCACACCTGTTGAGTTTTTATAACTGCACAAGTGATCTTGTTATTTTTAACAGTTTGAGGAAGACTTCATAACACAATAGAAATGTTTCTTGGTGTCATGAAGCCATAATTCATACACCACCTGGTTCTGACACTATGAATTCATTTGGTTGTAAGCTAAACACTTTGCTACATTGAAAAAGTAATTCTGTTGGCATTTGCTAAGTACTTAGCTTGATTCAAGTTCGAAGGATTTTTTGATTTTGTACACTGCTGACCACATAGGAAAAAAACTTTTCTCAATAGGAAAACTGACTGCAGAATGTATATAAAATAGCTTGTTTGTGTTTGAGGGAATTTGCTACTCTTAATATCATTGATGTCCTCATGTTATTTGTGAGACGCCAGTTCATGATGACAGTGGTTCACCAAGGACACTGATACAGTAGCTAGAGAAGTGGCATCCTTACTATATCTGCATCAAATTTTAACCAAGTGTGAAAGCTTACTTCCTCCTTCTGGTGGTTTTTGTGGTTCATATTTATAACATGACAGTGGCTCTTGTGGCTTATTTACATAATGGGACCGTGGTCCCTCCCACCCATGTTCAAAACATGCCTTATTTGGTAAGGTGACAGGGAATTGTGGATGACTATCTATATGGGTATGTTGCGTTTTTTATAAGTTATATCTTTGTGACTGACATGCATAAATGTGAATCATTAGCAAGTCTAATAAAGGTCCTCTTGTTCGCAGTGCCAAATGGGATAATTAATACCAGTTAAAATGTCATTCACGCTGTTGGGACATGAATAGTGTCGGAACCAGTGGTCTTTTGATCACTTTGACGGTCTGACCTGTCCACAGAATTGCCTGTTTTTATGACAAAAGGGAACTAAATTCTATACATTCTGTGCTTTGCCAGAGTGGTCAAGCTATTTTATAAACCAAATTTGTTTTTACGGTGTGTCGCCTTGATTCTTATGGGTCAGTCATGTTCCTTATTACTTAAATAGCGTGGACTGAACAATAGGTTTCTTGTTATTTTACGCTTTCCTCTATTGGTCTTGATTTTCTAGGTCCACTGTATCAGAACTTGACTGTACCTGCCATATTGATTCTCTGAGGCTTAGATAACAATGGGCAGACATTTGTAAACAGTATTATGAGTAATGTTTTTAGTGCTGGTCAAAAGCGCCATAGAAATATATGCCATACGCATTCCATTTATGGAAAATGTGAATGAGTCACCACTGTTACCCTGTGACCTCAGATTATGTAGACATTTCCAGCATTGATTATAATCATATTTTTCAATATAAGATGTATTTAAGCCTTTTCTCATTTATCAGCCAATGTGGTGGCCCCTGGACCTTGTGGCCAGCTTAGCAGTAGCCCCATATCATAGTAATGTTAACAAGGTTCCCCGCTGGCCGCTGCTAGCTGCTATTGCAGATCATTTGTAGTGGTTTAGGATAAAAGAATAAATATTTAAAGCAGTCCATCCTTATTCATACCAGCGCCTTCTGGAGATGAAAGTGCTTAAGTCTGGCAGGAAGATCTAAATAAAAGACAGGTTTTGAAAGCAAAAAGTGGACTACACAACTCAGTAATGGTGCAAAAATAACTCTCTAACAGATTGTGCTTCCTTAACTAGCCAAAAGAAAACTTCGTTCAGGCAAATACTTTAAAATTACAGTGACACTAGCATTTTATTTTATACATCTGTATGCTAATTTTTTGTGGATAGAAGGTGTGCTTCAAAAGTGCATCCTCTGATTAACTGGCTGGCGCCATATTTCTAACCCTGGAGTGAAAACATGTCAGGCTGGAAGTGTGAACTGTAAACACTTAAAGATTATATTAATTCAAAATGTTTTAAATAAATGACAACTATGTTATGTAAATTTGCACTGTTTCAGCTGGCTTTGTTGTTAGCTTTGTTAAGTTCTGTCAGGATCTTTTTAGCATTGCCATCAGGCATAAAGATAGACCCAATATTGAATACCATGTTATCAGATGAACACTCTGGTTTTAAACCTAAGACCCCCCCCCCCCCCCAATATACATGCACACAAATACAAGGAAAACAATAACTTTTATTTAAGATTTATAATCACTGGCATGAAATTACATATATCTTTCTATGTTTTCCAGAGGTGAATCTGGTGCAGGTAAGACAGAGAATACCAAGAAGGTGATCCAGTACCTGGCATATGTAGCCGCATCTCTCAAGTCATCAAGGCAGTCCACCTCAACTATACACAGTATCCAGGTATGTGGGGGACAGTTTAAATGAGGGGGGAGGCAGCCCTTGGGATTCCTAGCATGTCGGGGTCATCTTCCCTGCATCCTTATTATTTCCCTTAATTGCACGTTGAGTGTGAAATGTAGTGTTTGTCTGTCAGTAACCCTGGAACAAGCTGTAGATTGATTAAGAGAAATTAGTTGTTATGTTTTCTAGAAAATATTTGGAATTTTTGGAGGTCAAAAGGATCTGTGCTGACCAAACAGTTTATTTAAGTGGTAGTATGATCAAGTGGGTTGAGGGGGAAGAAAAGTAGTAGAAATGTAGTGTTGCACTGCACATGGGACTCGGGACTAGAATGGGATGACTGGATGGCACGGAGCCCACCTGGAGTGGGATGACGTACAGACATAAGTCACCCACTGACGTAATAATCTCCGAGTGACACATTATCCAAGAGACTGTTCTTATGCACATGTTCAGTCATGTTTTTATCACGCAATATGTAATGGATTGTTTTACATGGGTGGGAGGGAGCTTGTTGTCTTTCAGTTATGAAAAAAAAAGTATTTTTGTTTTGAAGTGCAGTCGGTGTAGTCTAGTAGTGGCTTTTGCTCACAGAAGATGTGGGGGTTATTATGGCACATATAATTTTGATCAGATTCACAGCTTTTTTGCTTTGAACAGTGGTGAGGTCATGCACAAGCACAAAGTGTGCCAGTGTGGTTATATAGAAGTGATGCTACTCTGCCTTAAGCAATTCATCTTCCATTCACACTGTAGTCTTTGTAGTAACCACATCCAGTAAGATGATGCCTAATGATTGATAAGAAAGACCTCTTTCTCTTATAATTGTACTTCGATGTTTAAAGGGGGATGTAAAAGTAATTTGTTTAAATTGTTAAAAATGAAATGTTGTGTACATTTGAATAATTTAAGTTGATATAAGTGCGTTTTAACATATTCTGATATTTCTGTGATGTAGACATTTAATAATTTTGATAATTTTTGTAATTGTCTTTTGACTATTTAACTGGTGTATACAAGTATTTTAAAGACCAACATCTGCTTTGAGGCATGTGTGTATTGTATGTCTTTGGCTATTTAATATTTGGAAGGCCTGGCAGCAGAGAAGGTTTGCAAACAAAAACTTGAAATAAAATGTTAAAACGATGTGAAGAAAAAAATAATGTTGGAAAGAGATAAAAGCACAAAGAGCAACTTGAAATTAAAAGAAAAGGTTTTAATATGGTGAAGTTATGTAAGAATACAATTTATGATATGGCAATATTGCAAACCTTGTCTGTTCTTGGAAACTTATCATTATTGTCTTTCGCAAAGTTTGAGGCTTTAACTTGAGTTTTTATTTCTGTAATTAAAGCAAGCCAGTTTTTGCATTTTTTAAAAAAGTTTTGATTCTGTAGTATTGATGCTAATTGTCCACCTATTTAGCATGCAAACCCTTCTTAAATCTAATGGCAATAACAACATAATGCAGACACTGGTCTGTATAATTAACTATGACAAGCCGATTTCCAGTAGACCAGGAACTTTTCTATTCATATATAGCTGGGATGCCATGTTTTACCCATGCTAGCAGCTCCTAGTAACATTACCACTGGGTGTATGTATTGAAATAAGCCAAGAACTAAACTGCTTGAAGTTTCAATAGGGACTGTGGTGTGTTGGCTGATTGCATTGTGGCTATACTTCCCTCGGCAGCTTACCTGGATATGAATTTATTACAGTACATATGTACATACCTGACTACTGTTATGTATTTTAAACAAAAAAAAAAAAACATATTTAACCTAACAGTGTTGCTTTCATTTGAATTGCCTGGTGGTAGAGGTGTTTAGTGGATAAAGTTTTGTCCTTTTTTAATATAAAAATAGTAACATGTTTCTCAAGCGCAGCACCTAAATTTTTCAAGTTTTAGTTTTGAATTTGGCAAACCTATGCACATACTAACCTCTACAATATAATGGAGAGAATATAATCATTGCAATGCAGCATGTGTATACCTGTTGCCTGCAGTGTTACATGGCAAGCTGTTGGTTTTTCATCATGTTATACTGATCTAAAACAGAAAATATTTTCATTCCATCCTCAACCCCTCCCCCTCCCCATTCTACCGTCCGTCTCCGCTCTCCACAGTCTTGTTTCAAGTTGGGTACCAAACAGTACTGAGACTTTTACCAGTGCTGCTACTTACAAATAAGTCCATATCTTAGTGTAAACACCCTGTGACCTGGAATTTGAGCATGACACTGAGGTTTTCCTTCTTTACATGGCATTATGGTGATAAGCATGCCTTGACATCCGTCTGTCAGAAAAAGAGAAACAATTAAAATTGTAGCAAATTTTTTAATTGCTCGTTTAAACAACAACAAAGAAGTCCATTTCTGCTAAAATTGCAATGCCCTTGTATGCAAAATAATCCTGCTTAGTTTTTGAAAATGGGCATATTGTTTTGTGAGTTTGATATCTTTGTATACATGTATTTATGCTTTAACTTTCCAGCCAGGACACACGACAGAGCATTGGACTGTTCTTCAAGTATAGTATATAATTTGTCTCCTCCTAAAACAATAGCATCCTTTTAGACGTCTTGCTCAATAAAAACTATTGTACATAAAAGTGAAAATGAAACCAAACATGGCAGTGATTGGCCATAAGTGATTTGCATGCGAGACCAGTAATCATGATAACAGTACAGTTTTATTCTAAACTAGAAGGGTTTGATTCTTTAAAAAAAATGTCCTGTCACCACCCACAGCTACCAGACTAAAAACTCAGAAGCATCTTGAGATCTTTCCCCCTATATTAAAAAACTCCTTGCCCTAAGGTCACTTATAAAGTCGTAGGTTACTCTGAAAATAATTAAAACTACCTCAAGGATGAGGGTGTTCTAATATGGTTCCCAGAATTGACGATTAATGAAACCTTCCAGAAACCAACACCTTGCATCCAGATTAATCTGCAGTATAGGGGGCTCAGGTGTGAAGCACCAGGATTATACTATATTTATTCTAATAGTGCCTACTTAGTCATGCTTCTACCTCTGACTTTGCCTTCTGTCTGTCTGTCTGTCTGTCTTTTTGATTCCTGTGTCATGCTGTCACTAATCTACACGCATTAACTAATCACGTGATTTGGTAGAAACCACACATGGCGGCTGTGAGGGTTTATCCCTCTCGGTGACGGCCACCTGTGACATTGTCACGGTGAGCCGTCTGATTGTCTCAATGAACCAATCAACCCGCATGTGATAATCTAATTGTCTTTCTGTCTTCTTTGTCCTCCTCTGCAGCACCGTGATCACAAGGATATCAACCTTGTAAGTAAGACTCTCACCGGGCACTCAGAAGGGTGCCTTCACTTTTTTTTTTTTTTTAAATCTTATTTTGTTTTTACTTCGATGATTATTTTAGACGAGATGAGAGGAGGTGCGTGTGTACAGTGAGTGAGAGAGAGAATGTGTGTATTGTTGGATACGTTTGTGACAGAGTTCGGAAGGACACAATATTAAATATCTCTGTCCCTCTGAGTGCCCTCTGAGATACTGACCACTGGTTTACTATTATTGGCCATTTTTATGGTGTTATCCCAACAGATTTCCTTGAATTATCCCCGCTGTCATTGCCCTGTTCTTCCATTCACGGCACCATCAAGATGGCCCGTCTTCTCATAAGTGACACTTTCACAGTAGAGAATAAATTTCAGTTGAGATTATTTTTAATTGGCTAAATGGGAAAAGCACAGTGTACTAAGCTATCACCACAAAAATTTTCAGTTCAAATGATTTTTTAAATTAAGTGGTTTATGAAAAATTTCTTTTTTATGACCTATTTTTTATTTCAGGTTCAGTGAATTCCATGTAAAGGAAATGCTTTTAAGTAGCATGAAAGTTTTCAAAAGTTTTGTAGCAGTTTGGTTAAAACTTTTCCAAAATTATTAAAATCAACATTTGTGTGCACCGAACAAAATCGTATCTATGGTGGTCATATTTCAATCTAACATTGATTAAAATTTATAGGGCGAGTTAGAGCAGCAGCTTCTTCAAGCCAACCCCATTTTAGAGGCCTTTGGCAATGCTAAGACCATCAAAAATGACAACTCTTCACGATTTGTAAGTATTATGTTTTGCTATTTTTTTTCACACACAGATGGAACCACATACTGTTACAAAGGACACTTACAGTTAAACATTTGTACATAATTGACAAAAGTAGAAAATCTAAGTGTAGTGAATTGAATAAGCATTATATTCTTTTGATTTATGTTTTCAATAATGTCAGACAATGTAGGTTACATAAAAATAGCAAAAAAAAGGAAAATCCAAAATTCAATACAGATTTCACCTTTGGTAATGCAGTCTTTTTATGACAAAACCTTTTTTTAATTCAGATTATTTTTTTTGGTTTATTTATTTTTCAATAAACTGGTCACTGTTATTTTTTTAAAATGGATCATGTTATAGTAAATTTGGGTGAAAACTAATGAAATGTAATTCTGATTTTGTAGGGTAAATTCATCCGTATCAACTTTGATGCATCAGGTTACATCTCTGGAGCCAACATAGAGTCCTGTATCCTTTCAGTTTTCTGTCATTAATTACATTTTATAGTTACAGATATTTCATTTTCCAGACACTCAACTATTGAAATACTTCATTCCAATTTTTCACTCAAAGTGCATAATTACAAAAAAAAAAAAAAAAAAATGCTATAACTGTGTAGTGTAGGGTTGTTTGTACAAACAATACATATGTTAACACCCACCACCTTGACAATATTTTTGATAATATGAACATACATTATGATTACTGTACTCCACACTCTTCATTCTAAATAAACTGGTCATTTTTCCACCCTCTCAACTTTGTTTCTGCCTCACAGATCTGTTTTACACTTAACAGCCATGCTAAGATCTGTTGGAGAAATCCCGTGTGATTCACCAGGCAGAAATCGAGAGGATGTTCCACATAGCCTACCAGCTTCTTGCTGGAGCCACACCTGACATGAGAAGTAAGTAGAAAGGAAATGTCCCCAGATGACAATAACCTAAACTTGCATAATGACAGGCGATTTTACGAGATAGTGTAATTATGAATTGAGTTACTGCAGGCGTTAATTCCAAGAATTTGATGAGACAATTTGATTTACTTGAATTGGCTTTAAAAGAATAACTCTAATTGATTTTGACTTAAATACTCAAGTTCCTCTATGGGAAATGACCTTGAAATGGTCAGAAATACTTAATGAATGAATGGATTAGAAGTTGTTTAAAAAAAAAAAAAGACAAAACAAATTTGATGTTATTTACATATTGAAAGTAGTTTGTTAGATAATAAATATGAAACTGCTTTAAAGGTGCCCAATAGAACCATTTAAAAATAATTCAATTAAAATAATTTAAAAAGATGAATTTGAGCCCTACTTGGCTTTGGTAGAATAACAGTAATGGAAGGTAACCTGCATGGCAGCATTAACAACATGGAGCTTTGGGCAAGCACATGCCTTGTTGAGAATGATTATGAATACATGAATTTTTTATAAAACACCTGTGCCCACAGGATAACGGGAACATGTGCTGTAAACTTCATTACAGCACCAAAGAGGTGTTTTTTTCCCTAGCTGGTTATGAATGGGTCATAAGGATCATCTTTTAAAGGAAAAAAACTTTAAAATTAATGGAAATAGTATTTTAAAACCTTGTTTAAGCAGTTTAAGCTCTTACTATGATGCAGCATTGCTGATCTTGCCTAACAAGCTGCACACCAGCTGATTACATCTGTTCTTTATACATGTGAATCAGTATGAAAAAAAAAAGGGGTCTTAAAAAAAAGACTATTCCTTCAAACAACGTATGGCACATGTTATCTTTTACCGCAGTCAGAACCCTAGCGAGTACTGATGGCAGTTCATAGGTATTCCACCTTCAACACCTCAGGGGTTATGTTCAGTTACACATCAAAAGAATGTTCAACACTTGGAAGCCGAGGGAGTCAAAAGCCCAGATTACCTGTGTATTTCTGTCAACATGGTCATTCAGTAAGAATTCAAGGTCCTGTTATCTTTATCCTGCCGATGCTATCTTAAGCTGGGAATGATAAGTCAAACTAGGACTGTAATAGGACAGGCATGACTCAGAAGTCTGATTAAGGACATTTGAACTACTTATTTCTACAATATTGCCACTTTTACGAATTTTTTTCCTAAGTGCATAGATGATGCAGGAATCAGAATAGTGGGAAATACATGCGATAAGTGGTAACTTCTTGAATAAACTCAAATTACTCTCCATGGAAACTTGGCTATGTGAAAGAATTCTTTTTATTTAGAATACATTGATGACAACAACAATAATGGTAATGATTTTATTGGATCTTGTTTAGTTCCTTGCCATAACAAAATGAAATTTACTTTTAATGATAAGAGGGGAAAATAAATGTAATACAGGATTTAGAAAGAAGCAAAGTCAGTATGTATGCTTGTGATGGACATCACCAATCTTGAATAGGTAAATCTTATTTACCTGATCTGATGTGATACTGAAAGAACCAGAGCATTCTCTCTCTTACTTAATAGTAATAATGATGATGATGATAATTCACAATATGACATCCCATTGCTAATCCCTACTGTGTCCGTTTCCAGAGGAGCTTCTGCTGGAAGACATCAGAAAGTACCGCTATATCACCAATGGGCCTAACCCTGTGCCAGGGGTGGATGATGTGGAGACCTTCAAGGAGACCCTGGAGGCCATGAACATCATGGGGATGTCTGAGGAAGACAGATACGGTAAACTGCTGTACTTTCCTCCATAGAATGGTTAATGTTATGACAAAGTATTTTCGAAGTATTCTTCCTCATATTTGCTTTATGTGCTTGCATATTTTCCATCTTTGTATAAATCTGTGAAGATCTTTGATTGACTGATGTTAAAGCTTGTAACTTTCAAGTTATTGAAAATTAAGGGGTATCATGTTAAACAATTCTAGAATGTGCTTTATTATTGTCATTATATCTCTTGTTAATTATCTGCTTTATTTCAGGCCGACTTGCTATACACAGGTGTATTTCTGTAATTGGTCTGTGTTTTGAAATATGCAGCTTTCATGTTCAAATTTAACTGTCCTGAAGTAACACTAAATATGACTAAGTATGAAACAGATTGTGCTGTGTTGTATGAACACTTGAATAGCTGTATAATAAGGCATCAGGTTTCCCCTAGAATAATGCTTCATTGTTTGTGACTGCTTTCTTCCAGCTGTTTTCAGAATAGTGTCTGCCTGCTTGCACATGGGCAACATGCAGTTTAAGAAGGAGAGAAACTCTGATCAGGCCTCTCTGCCTGAGAACACTGGTAGGTATCCAGACTGTAATGAGGCGACATCTATTGACAAAACTGAATATTAAAACCACATTGGACTTGTATCTTGCAGGGGTTTTAAGGGTAGTATCAGCAGTCCTACAATTTGGTAATCTAGCCATACAGAATGAAAGGAAATCAGACCAGGCCATTATTCCAGATAACACAGGTTTGAGCAGAAAACCCCCCTTTGTGTAGGGATGCTCCTGGACATTTTATACTGTGCATCATGAAAATTGAAGTTTAAAAGAAATGGATGATTACCTATCCCATAATGATAACATTTACCAATGATACCTGCTTGTGATTTGAACTTTTGCATGCTAAATTTTGATTGTCATTGACATAATGAAGAAAGAGGGCTGGCACGTCAAATTTACGAGACTTCATGATTTCTTAGACTGCATGCAAATTTTTATTTTAAAGAATCAAACTGATATATGAGAAGTAATTTACAGTTGACTCTGCATATGACTGCTCCCATTTAGAAACCTCAAAACCTGTTCCTTGAAAATAAGAACGAAAAAACTGTATGATGATGCTTGTCTGAATTGCACAATGAGTAAATCCGCAGTTTTTCCCCATTTGCATGAATTTTGATATGTACATAAAATACGGATGGTTACTTTCTGGTGTGGTATGAAGAAATCTAAGATTGAAATTGCAACCTAAAATAAAAATACCCTTCTTGTTTTTGCTACATTTCCCAGATTTTGTATGGCACATTTAGTAATAGTTTTGCAGTTTGATAAAGTATGTGATGTAGACTGCATGAAGTTTTCAGAATTGTTCTTTTTATTATGTACAGACACAGATGTGTCTGTACATATTGCCATCACCTGCGTCTGTCGTCGCCGATGGCGATGGCGATGCCGATGCCGGCGCCGTGCACTTTCCTTGTAAACACGATAAGTGGAGGGCAGTTTTACTTTTTGGCTTTATATTTACAGAGCTGATGAATATTCATAAAATGCAGGTCAAGTTCGAAAATCAGTATGATCGGGCCATTATTGTAGAAGTTATGCTGTTTTTTCACTTTTCAGCATATTTTTCACATTTCCTTAGGCATGTTAACAGTCTCATTATTAAACTAATAAGATACTTAAAAGTGTTTGTTTGACATTTCCTGCATCTTTACAACATTGTTAGTTGATTTTGTAAAAAAGATGGTAAACTTGTTATCATGTATTGTGTAATAAAGTTTCAAAAATAGAAAAAAACTCATATCATTGCAGTTTGTCAGATTCAATCATTCACTATGTTCAGAATCTCAGAATGGAAGAAATTGGACATTTAACACTGCTCTGTTGATATTTTTCCCATCTCATCAATTTTCTTAGTTGATCATATAAAAATGGCAGTAAACTGTTAATTTTGTTTTATGTTAAAAATTGTTAAAAATGGAAAAAAAAACATTTCAGAACAGTGCTGTCTTGTTTACATTTTGGCATTTTCAAGTTGTGACTTTGAAGTTCCATGGGCCTGAAGACCTTTGCTAGTCACATTTTCTGAA